TTGATCCAATAATTCCACTACTGGGAATATAAAGAAACCAGAACTGCCACCCAAGCAGATATAGGCACACCCGTGTTTTTTGCAGCTTTGTTCACAATAGCAAGGAGTTGGAAACAACCTAAGTGCCCATCAACAAACGAATCGATAGAGAAGATGTGGTATATTCACACAATGGAATACTATGCTTCATTAAAAACAAAGAACTCATGAAATATTCTACACAATGGGTGACCTATATTATACAAATGGGTGACCTGGAGGACATTATGCTGAGTGACATATCTCCGTCACAAAAGGACAGATACAACATAGTGCCACTGTTGTAAAATGGGACTGACACTGGGGATGGAGGGAACCTATGAAAAGAGGGGTTAAATAATGTATCCTGCATTGAAACAGATGAGGGAGAGAATTATTTAAAAGGAATATGTTGTTGTTGTTGTTAAGTGCCAGTGAGCTATTTGCGACTCATAGTGATCCTATGTACAAAAGCCCTAAACGCTGTTCTATCCTGTGCCAGCCTCGCTGTCTCAAACACATTCATTCCCACCGCTCCACTCACAGAATTGATCCATCTCATCGAGGGTCTTCCTCTCCTGCGCCGTCCCTCCACTCTCTCAAAACATGATGTCCCTCTCCAAGGACCAGTCCCTCCTTGCAACATGCCCAAAGTATGTCAGACAAAGCTTCAGAATCCTTGACTTCAGGGAACATTCTGGCTTCACCCTCTCCAGGACAAACCTGTTTGTTCCCCTAGTAGTCCATGGTATATTCAACACTAGGATTAGGTATTATTTTTATGACAAGATTACGGAAAAAAGAAATGTATATTAAAATAGACAGTGGACTGGGGGGATTATATAACAATGAAAGTACTTATTTTTTTATCTTCAAAGAGAAAAATGAACTGGGGGGAGGTGTGGGCAGGGAGGAAAATGTGCAACAATGAATGAATGGGAAAAAGTAAATGGAAAGAATATGCTATAAACAATATATGTTGCATTAAAAAAATCACTAATTAAAAAAGTATAAAAATTTAGAGACCTACAAAATAGCCCCCACAACCTCCTAAATATAGACTATAGAATATACAATGTACATGTATGAAACACATGTATGATAAAAATATTTATAAAAAGGAAGAGACCCATGAACAGAATTAATTACAGAAAAATAAGATTTCATTTGTTTACAATCAATACTTTCATTCTAGGTGTGTGAGGAATAACTAACTTCAAATGGCTTCAACAAAGCACAGTAATTAAAAAATGCATTCAATAAAGAACCACATCTGGAAAGAAGATTTATGTGTGAGAGAGGGATCTGGATGAAATTTACAAATGATTTTCCATTCAACTGTTTATACATTTTGTTTCACAATATTAGTTGTAATTACTACAGCTGCACTCTTCCTGCTCCCTCCCTGGGTTCCCTCTTTCCATTTGCCAACCTTTCTTTTCTTTTAATGTAGATTCAAACTTGGTCGGAATCTTTTTTTTTTCCTTGCTGAGTACCATCAAATCAGATCCAAACGGCACAGGAAGAGATTGCCCCTCCTTCTCCAGCAGTGCATCTGGTGGTCTCGAACTGTGTACTTTCAGGATCACAGTGCAGCTTCTGCCACTAGCCCACCAGAGCTCCCTTTGCCAACTTTTCTGAGCTTTGTTTTGTGGCGAATACTTATTAAATGGTTAACTGCTCTGAGAAGTACCTTCCTAACAAGAGTTCTTGTTAACTTTGTAATCTTGAGTTTAAATATTTGAAAAGATTTCTTAGTCTCAAAAAAGATGGATGAGGAAAATAACATATTATTAATCACATTTTTAACATCTCTAATATTTTAACCTTGCTTCTTTCATTCTATTCCAAGCTCTTCAGAGCAAAAAAATAAACCACCACCAATTCAGAACAAAACAACAATTTAACACGGTATATTTAAATGAAAGACAATTTTAATTATAGAAATTTTTAAAAATGGCATTTTTAATTTATTGCAGAAAAGATATTTTCAATGCATTTAATTATTTGCAGACATGGGGGAAATACAAAAGTACATACATGGGGGAAATACAAAAGTACATGATAAACACAGAAAACGGAGTTTCTCAGAGAATAAAAACACTGCAGAGATTAAATTTTAAGTTAGCTTCTACTCTCAAATTTTTTAAGAAACACATTTGGGAGGTTTTCTACTGTCAAAAACTCTTTAAAACTCACAAATGTTTTAAAAATCTCAACTAAGAAGCTAGGAGAAAAAAGGCAGAGTGGCTTGATAAACTCTACAAACCATCTCTCACTCACATTGCTTTCCCATTCATTCTCTTGGACAGCAATTTTCCTCCCTCTCAAGAAAAAATTGTTATATATCACTAGCAGAAAGCAGACTTCCCTTCACTCTAGGAAGAAGGAAATCTGTATCATCCCATGAAGGTTTTCAATTTCTCTCCCAAAGTAGATCTCTCATACCAAGGACTAATTAACACTCATTTTTAGTTACTTCCAAGTTCATTTTTAACTCCCCACCCTGTATAAAATGAGAAAACAAAAATTAACTCTAATGATTTTATTCATAAATCTCTTAAGGAACGCAATATAACAAAAAACATGAAAAACTTTCAGGTTAACATTTCTTAACCAAGAAAATCAGAGAATACATCTATTTTTATATAACAAAAAAGGCTTATTAATACACATATGACAATACAAACAATTCTCCATTTTGTGGAATTTCAAGGCAGTGGAGATTTGATCTGTTGAGTGTTTCAGAAAAGCTCATTATTACAATGTCAAATACATACAATTCACAAGAAATAAAATGTAACTGATTAAATAACCATCTTATGGTTGATTTTCTTGGTAAAGTGCTATTTTCATATGAAAGAGATAATTAATGAAGATCTTAAAATTCCATCATTTTGAAAAGTGTTGAAATTTTTCTTCAGTATCCATTATGCCCATCATTCATTTGTCCCCAATATGAGGTCATAAATACATTTTGTAATTTTAAAAATCTTTTTGTTTCCAGATTATTTCCAGGAAGTTTGTTACTTAAATATTGTTATTGAAGTTGCTCATGATACAGGAGTCTGTGATTGAGACACAACAATTTTCCATTGTTTTAAACATGATCTTTGGTTTCAAGCTGTCCCGGTGTTCTTTTTGTTAAATGGTTGCAGTTCATCAAATATTCATGAAACAGGACACTAGATTCATTTAACTACACAATAGAAAAGTGGGTCAAGAGCCCAAGAGCAATGATTGGAGCCTATCAATAAATCTGGCAAGATGAGTTCCCTGAAATCCAAAACTGACAATTTAAGTGTTCAAGGAAGTCAGTATTGTTGAGTGATTCAACTCTTTCACCAGTGGTCTATTAGCATTAGCCTTGGTGTCCTAAGGAAAGAGCCTAGATGAAATCAGTTGTGGCGGGAGAGATCTAATGCAAATGAAGGCACACAGCAAATCTTAAACTGAGACCAACTAAACTGCATATGCAATGTGTCCACCCCAAGCACACTTACCAACCTCACCCTCAGAGGTTGAATATCATCACTGCAGATTCCATCATACGGAAGAACTCTATGCCTATGGGTGTCAGATGCCGGAGGTCAGAACTACTCAGTGGTTTCCAGAACTGGTAACACTTTGAATAAGACAAGTTGGCCTTTTCTCAAAATTAAACTGCTAAGATTTTAAATTATAGAGCAAAGAAATAATAACAATATTACAAACTTTAAGAGGCCACAGCTGAATCTCAGAAAGAATAGGTTCAATTTTGTAACTGAAGGCTATTGGTGATCTCTTTTCTCTCTCCTTGAATAATCAAATGCAAATGTCTTTTAGCAATGGCAGCATTCAAATCCCACAAAAAATCAAGGAGTGCCCCTTGAAGCAGCACCTCCATTGGCACAAACTGTAGAACCTGTTGTGGGGCATCAGAGTTAAGCAATGAGCTCAACAGTTCACTCACATTCTGCAGGTACTGGAAAACTGGATTTGGAAGGCCCTGAAAGCCAACACAGAGTAGGACTGCACAACTCCTCAGCAGCTCGGAGGACGTAGGACAAGAAAACGTGATGAACCTGAAGCAGCTATGGAGTACAAAGATCATGCCGGCCATAAACCTCGTGAAACAGGAAAGCAGAGGCAAAATTAAAACATCTCCTACGTGAAGCTGCTGCAGAGACTGCAGAAGGCAGTCCAGAAACAAGCGCTGGTACTTAGGGTCTCCATCATGAAGCAATGAGGAGCTGAAAGTCCCGAGTTCAGCCGACTCCAGGAACTGAACTTCCAACGGTGCATTTACTACGACGTCACGGAGAGCTGGCAAACCCACCAGCAGGCACTTTATCTGGCTGCTGGGTTCTGTAACCTGCTCATCCTGAAGGCACTTGGTAAGGCTGAGCAACTCAGAAAATATTAGTTCTTCAGAAAAAACATGACAAGAACAGTAATACTGGTGTCTGGGCCTAAACTTGGAATCCAAGTTCAAGGTCTCTCCTAATGACTTTTCAATTGCTTCGTTGAGAGTCTTTAAAATTTCACCATCACAGAAAGGAGAACACTTTACCTTCGGCAGTTTCTTTCCCTCTAAAATATGCCACAAGTGGCATTCAAGATCGGCATCCGCCCCTTCTAAAAGAGAACTCTGGCCAGGATGAGGAACAGCGTGCTCTTCAGCCCAACTGTTAAAGTACCCTTTAGCTACTTTATCTTTCCATGAGAGAGTTTCCAGCATCTTCCTTTCATTATAGGTTTTAAAATATCTATTTCTCTGGCCAAACCATTTTGTATTTGTACTACAACCAATACTAGACTTTTTTACTAGCCAATTATTTCTGGAAATCAGCTTCAACTGAAACTTCTGCATGAAATATTGCACAGCACAGTCCCGTAAATTATTCAGCTTTTCCTGCTCCACTTTTCCCATGCACTCAAACAAACGGATGTTCTCTGATATAGTGTCTAACTGATATTTATGAAAGAATACACAACATTCTTCATGTCTTTTAAGAAAAGATTCGGGGATCGCATGATGAGGAAAGAGGGCTTTGCTGGTCATTTGGGTTCCAAAATTCAGCATCATCTTCGATAACACAGGATGGATGGCTTCTCTTCCCTTATAATGGAGACACACCACATAGACTTCAGAGTTGCCCGCCTTGCTGGTAGCAGGTTTGAAAACATGGACTTGGTCAAAGGAACAGTTCAGCAGATACATCAGGTTTATAGAACAATGCTCAAATAAAGTAAACATCTTCAAAACAAAAGAGCCACCATTCCCTAGACTCATCAGGGCAGTGACAACTTCACAGTAATGCAAAGAGGAGACTAATGCTTCTTGTTCTCCCGGATTTCCTTGGCAATCAAAACTCCCATCTGCAGTGATCAAGTGAATGGTAGCCATGTTGCTTATAAAATTCTGAAGTCCAGTAAGATATTTCAGAGTCATGATATCACCGGTGTTATCCGGACCAAAGTACCAAAACTGTAAGGTATTTGCAATAAGCCGGTCATCCATAATCATCATTAGACTGTCATTTGCTTCATGATATGGGTTCAGAGTATTGGCTACCCAACTCCACTCACAGGGGAATCGATGGGATTTTAAATAGTGATTGAGACTAGCTATGAACGCACCAGGAGCTTCACAAAGATGTAGCGAATTCAGCTTTCCATCTTGGAAAGCTTCCTGTGGAATAAGTGGAAAGCTACACAAAATCTCATGAAACTTACACCATGCTTGAGTACAGAGTTCGGCGTTCACAGATTTCCTCACATGAGAAATGATTTTTCCAGCTTTATTAGTGAAGGCAGTGTGCTCGTGCCACTCATCAAGCTTCTTATCGCTCAGAAGGTTTTTCACTTCGTTTAGAGAGTTCTTCAAATCAAGAAAGGTATGAAGTTCCTTGTGGTCACAGGTGAAGACCTCCCCGGGGTCTGGTAGCTGCCATTCATTATTAGGTGGCTTCCCGTAAGTAAAGCTCTTGGCAAAGAGTTCAAAAACATCAGCAAGAACATCTGGGCCGAATGCCTCAGGATTTGCTATCTGATGTACTGGTGGCTTTTTGCACTTACTCATTTTTCAAATTAAATTAAATCTAGGAAAAGAAAACACATAATTAAATAAAGCAAATTTACTAGTGGATCTACTCAGTAGCAAGCCCAATCACACTCGTGATAAAGCATGTTTAAAAAGCATGCTGTTGTTGTGTGCTGTCGAGACAGAACTGACCAACAGCTGGCCCCTAGTAGTTTTTCAGAGGCAGTAAATAGCACAAAAGGAAACTGCCCACCCTTCTCCCATGGAGCAGCTGGTAGGGTTGAACCACACGCCTTTGGGACTGCAGTGCGCCTTCTTTCCACTAGGCCTAACAGAGCTCCCTAATCTGCCGATACTGGCTCCAAAGGACAGCTAATGCTAGTGGGCACATTTCAAGTGTATTTCATTTCATTAAGAAATGAAGCTTTGCTACGCAGCACTCATGGGAGAGGTTAGAGAGTATTATGCTGAGTGAAGTAACTCAGGTGCGTAAGAACAAATACTGCAAAAGACTATTAATGTAAAAACAGAAGGACAACGAATAAGATATGTATAGACAGTCAAAGAAGGAAGAAGAGTGAGCAAGGGGACTGAAGGTAAGGAGGGGGGAAATCACGGGGTCACAGAGTTTGGTGGGTGGAGGAAGTGGATGGGGGGAAAAACCAAAACAAAAAACTGTGTACATGAATGACACACAATGTAAACAAATTACTGTATGAAACCAGTAACAAATTTTTTTAAGAAAATAAAGTTGTCACCACTTTGAAAAATGAGAATAAAACATGTTAACATATAAAAGGCAAATGTTAAGAGTCATCAGTATATGGGAACATTAGCTCATTTAGCTGTCTCCCCTAGTTCAACACTAGCCATCACGGTATCACCAACAGAATAGTACGCGCTCGTGTGCGCTCTCTCTCTCTCTCACACACACACACACACACACACACACACACTCACTCACTCTCTCTCTCTCACAGGAACAAGATCTAACAAGTGCTTGTCAACATTTTTTGGAAACTTTCCTCTCACCTCCCTTCCCTCTCGGCTGGGGTCCTGTATAGGAACACAGGATTGATTCTGCTCTGGGGTCTCTCTTCCAGCACGCACTCTCCCCTCCCCACTAGGATTGCACTCTTCATGATCAGAGCTTTGGCACTCGTCACCATTCTGCTTAAACACTGTGCTTTTCCTGACTGGCTGTCTCCTATCTGATGCTGAAATTGACCTGTAGTTTACATGTATTTATATCACAGATTCATAAGCTTCTTCTGGTCTGCTCAACCATCAACTACACTCCAAGCTTATGAGTTATCTTTATTTCTTCTTGCTGCTCCAACATCTTAACACATTTTGATAGCAGAATTTTAAATAGCTGAAATAGTCTAATGAAAAAATATATAAATTACAAATAGTCAACCTATATTCTGTGTTCTAACACTGCACAGAACATCTAACCCTCCTCAAGTGAAAGGGAAAGTATTGGAAAAGGTAGTCCCAGCAGGTAGAGCAGTGAGTATTACATGGTGTCAATCAATGGGTGCTTTATCTAATCAATTCTATCTTTGTTTAGCATATTCAGTGCAGCCTACAACTGATTTTTAAATGAAAAATAATAAAAATTTTCACGCTTGAACTGACAACAGTTACTATCTCACAAAAAGTGTTTCATGATTAAAATGGAAAACATATATGCCACCACCACAGTCATCAGGGTTCAGACCCACTGCTCACTGTATCTCTATGAGAGTTACATGACTCCTGGCCTCCAACAACAATAACCATCACAACAAATTCATTAATACTCAGATACTTTCATTTACCCTGCATTGTTATTTTTTATCCTTTCTTTTGATTATATTCTCTGCCAAGTTTGTCTACTAGTTTATAAGCTCTTTACATTAACAACAGTCTTCTTAGTAATTTGTTTGCCACAGTGTATTTCCTTAACAAATTTTCAAATTATACCTAAGTAGAGGTTCATTGTTACATCTACCCTTCAATATCTCCCCACCCCATTTTTACAGTTGCAAGTTATATTCAGAAAAGTGCCTTTAGCTGCATGAACTACAGGTTAATTTCAGCATCCATCCGATGTCAGGATGAAGGCATTCATATTCACAAAAATCTTATACATGATCAAATAAGAGCTTATTACAGTAAGTTCTTGCCTCTTACTAGAAATTCTATAACCATGCTTCAATCTCAACCATATTTTATTTTGGAAAAGATTGGATTTTAGTCAGCAACTTCACATATTAATTCATTCCTGTAGTTAAGGCCCAAGCTAACAGGTAATTAACGTCACAAGAGAATCACTATAATGACTCTAGAGTCTACTGTACCTCGTGACTACAGATTAGCTGTGACACAAAAACAACAACAAAAAAATGAATTCTAGTGAACAGTGCCCACAAGTCAACTCACTGCTATCAAGTTCAACTCATGGTTGTTCCTCCACTGGGTTTCTAAGACTAAATCATACAAGAACAGCCCCCCTTTCTTTCTCTAAAGAAGCTGCTGGTGGGTTTGAACCATCAGAGGCAGGGCCTTTAGGCAATGCTTCTTTCAATGCAACTCCCTGACAAGTAGGCCTCTAGAACTCCTTGAAAAGGTTGACAATTCATATTTGAATATAAACTTATTCAAACATCAGGCTTCATGCTATCAAATAGGCATAATACAGTCATCTCCAACCTACCAGATTCCTGGATGTGAATACTCTTCTCTTCTTATCTCCTCTAGTGTATTCTGAAACATAACAGAGTGATCTTGTAAAACCGAAGTTAAATAGTTGCACTGCTTTGCTCCAAACGCTCTAATAATAGCTCCAATTCACTCAAGAGAATCTGCAGAAGTCCTTACAGAATTTCTGCCCACCAGTCCACCAACTATTGTTAATCTTCCTATCACTGTTGTGTATAGTAGGGCAGGAAAAAAACCAACAAACCAACAACAGAAAGAAGCCCACAGATTGCTACATTGTGATCTTACGGGAGTGGATTGCCAGGCCTTCTACCCACAGAGTTATTTCCATCATCTGGAAATCACTTGATTAGCAGATTAGCATTTGACCACTGTGCAACTAGGGTTCCCTCTTGTCCTTACTCAAAGACCAAAGTCATTCCCTTTGAGTCCTCAACTTATAGGTGACCCTCCAGGGGGATTTTGGAGACTGTCAACCGCAAGGGAGAAAACTGTCCATCTCTCTTTCCAGGAGAGGCTGGTGGATTCAAACTGCTAGGCGAGACTCGCCATAGGCCTTACTCATTCAGCTCCAGCTGCCTCCTTATTACTCACTGAAGACACCAGGCACCTCCCAACCTTAAATCCTTTGCAGGGGCCAATTCTTCTGCCTAGAATGCACCTTCTTTGCCCCAAGGATCAGAAGCACTAATCCACCTCCTTTTAAGTATCTGCCCAAGCAGCCTGCCATGTCACTTATGGCTGTCCAGTTAGAACTGACCCTTCAGCAGATCAGACTCCCATGGAGCCAAGGGTGGATTCAAACCACCACACAGCCTTTGTGTTGGCAGTGCAACTCTACAGACTATTTCAAACTACATTGTGTATTCCCAAGACCCACTCTTGTGTCAGATAATTGTTCTGTTTTCCATAGCACTAATTTTCTCCAATATGTTATTTACTTACTCAAGTATTTATTTAGGTGTTTATTGCTCGTGTTCCCCAATGAGAATGCGAAGGTTCACAAAGGTAGGAATCCTGATCTTACTCATCTACCATGCCAGGAAGCTGTAAGTTTTCGTGCCCAGTCAGCAGTCAAGAAGTAGAGTAGGTAACACAGTAGAAGGGTCATGACTTCTCTGAATATGAACCAAAATCTTACTAATGTATTTCAACTTCTCTTCAGCATTCATATAACAAAGAAAAGGAAAGGTTGTGGTTTACAGTGTACTGAAAAATGTCTTCAGTCTGTGCTCCTGTCTCTCATTAAACACCCTCCAGAACTTTGTGGCATCATAATTTTGTTAGGTGAGTCAGTATGACCGGTCTTATTTTGCAGACTCGGCTAAAAAGTTGTGCAGGCTGTGGCCCCAAGGCACAGAATTCCTGCAACATCGTTAAGGCCTAATCCAAAATCTACAAAAATCTCATTAACAGTTGTTATCTCTGCAATTAATGCTTACAAGGAGTTTTAGAAGCCTTTGTCAATTCCTGCCAGCAGCTGTGAAAATAATGACTTACTCTTTGCCAAGGGTACCCAAGACCTCGTTCAAGAGATAAAGGGTCCCAGGCTGATTCCTCACCGGAAGGGCCTCCAGCCCAACCCTTCCCCCCCACTGGGAAGTCAGAGAAGGACCTGCTCCGAGGCCCGGTCTGCAATACCTCCGATCACGCCCCCTCGGCTCCCCAGGGGTGGGGACTCGTTCACTCGACTTTCTCACTCGTGGGGGCCATGCTCCACTTCCGCCCTTGGGGCTACTTGTCGCGTGGCCGCTCCCCGAGCCTGCAGCGCCCCAGTCGCGGAGCAGTGAAGCCCCGGCTCCCACCCACAAAGCAGCGGGAGCGGGCGCCACTTCCAAGCAGGGCCGCTGCCCGAAGGTCGCCGACGGCGCCCCGAAGACACACCCCGCCCCCGCCAGATACACTACGCACGCGCACGCTGGGCTGGGGTGGCGTCACGTGCGTCGACGTTACTCACGTCGCACGTCGGGGATTCGCCGCGCCGAGATCTCCCCTCTCCAGGTTTTGTTTTCAGACTGGGAACTGAAGCCCGGTAATGCCGTCTTCCCGCCCCTCTGTTGCTATAGTAACGGAAGTTGCGTGTGCGCGGAGCACCCTATGGTTCCGCCCCCAGGAAGGTGGTGGGATGGGGTGGGGCGAGCCAACCCCAACCAGGACCGTCAAGCTCTGCCCACGTAACCCGCTTTCTAGAAAAGTTTTTTACAGTTTGGTTCCAAGTACTGCTGACCCTGAAAAGAAAATATGAGGTTAAACGACAAACCGGGGAAAGTTTGCAAAATAACACTCTTATTATTTATGTTGCTGTTATGTGCCGTCGAGTCCCCTAGGATTCATAGTGACTCTAT